AATATACAAGTAAATGTGACGTCAGCGTTTTCTATATTTTCATCTATAATCCAATGTACTTATCTATTCCAAACACGCCAGCAAACAAGGGTTAGGAAGGGCTAGGAAATCGATACCCTAGTTTATATTTTGATGACGTATGTAGCTTTGCAAAAAATGATTATTATAAGTCAATATTATCTTTGAAAGACATGCACTGACTCAATATGGGAAACTCCGCTTAACTTTCACGTTACCAGGAAATCATACCAGTTAGATACTTGGCATTTACGGTTCTGAATTAGGTAAAGTACCTACTAAATCTGAGTTTTAATACTGTTAGTTATTTATTTGTGTACGTGAAATTACGCTTTACTAGTTTTGAACTTTCATGTAAAGTAAAGGAACAGTTCTTTATCCACCCTTATACTATAGGTGTTAGGTAGGAAAAGGACTGCCCTTTTCCTTTACCTAACACCTATAGTATAAGGGTTACATAAAGAGGATTTTTACAGAGAAGTCCTAATTTATTTTATTTACATTACCAGTTTTTATCTTTATCACATAATTTTTGTACCAAACTCTTTCTTCTTTCTAACTTTCTATCAACAAACTTGCGACAGGGTTCGAAATTATTATTATTTTTCTTTTCATATCTAATTGAACACAACATATAAGTAAATAATATTTACGACCTAGATTGTATTGAGTTAATTGAACAAATAACATAACAAACGTCATGTTGTCCGTATTTACAAAATGTTAAGAGCAAAGATGCACGAACGCAACAGTTGTTCACAAAGGAACTGCGTAGATATATTTTACGTCGTGGGTCGCGTGCCTTATCTTACGCTACAGTTATGGCACAAATCAGTATTAGTGACTAATATGTCTGTTTTCATACGTAATTTTACATAACCGTTTACTTTGTCATACCTTTATGTTATTAATGTCTCATCTATGTATATCTGATATTGGGAATCGAGAGGTACCAACTTCGTTAATTAATTTTGGATGGTTAGTTGTATAACTATAAAATTTTAATATAAATGTAATTTATGTTTTAATTTTTAATCAGCAGCTTCCGATTTTGTGATGTAAGCTTTCTAATGGTACAAAATAGTTTCAGAACAGTTATCCATGTAAAACATAGAATCAACGCTTACCTTAACGTATCAAGCAACAACAACATTCCCGATTTTTTAACAGTGAGTCATGATACGGAGCTTTTCATTGTTCCTTTAAAACAAGAGATTGGTATAGTACTTCCCATCTCTGAGGGTACTTAAGAGAACGTTAGGGGAACTATCATAGTGATGCATTGCGTACACGCGATTTGGAGGGCGAGGGTCAATGGTAATTTACAATTGGCATTGGAAGTTGATAGAAATTAAGTTTTAAAGTCTTAGTCTTAGTCAGTAGGCATTTATTCAGCAGTGTACGTCTTCCAGCTGATGATAATGATATCGTCCATAAGCAAAATATGTATGTGTAAATCTGTAATGACGATTATGCCTATGTATTATGAAAATGTGACTTTTTCTAAGTTATGCATATTACTTAGACACCACTGACAAACGGTGGAGGAAGACATCGAGAGGAAACCTGGGCTTATAATTTCTAATTATAAGTTTGAAATCGCCAAACCGCATTGAGTACCTAAGCGTGGTGATTAATGTTCGAAGCTCCTTCGTGTGAGAAGAGGCCTTTGTTAGCAGTTGCCACTTTAGGCTGTTGATTTTGATGATTATGATTTTTTCTGTCTTAAAGAATTACGTATGTATTATGATTCCTTTCGTCTTCACTTGTTCATGTAAATAATATAATAGGTATAAAGATTTTGTGTTTCGGGCTGGATATAATATTAAATCTAATAATTCTGTGGCTATAGCATACGTGATATTTTATGAAGATAGTAAATGTGATAATAAGCATTTGATTAAAGAAATATTTCCTGTAGGTAGACTAAACTTTATCTAACATAATTTTCAGGGTGTAGGTATAATCTGTTGTGTTTCAAAGGCATGTTATGACTTTTAAAAAGTAATTAACTACCTACTATTATACTTAGACCTACATGTACTATATACGTAAAATTGTTATAAAATTAATAGATTAAATCTGTAACTTAGAATATCACCTTTCGTGAGACATACTGAATTTAATTATTATGTTGTTCGGCTTACTCATAAATGCTGCTCATGAATATGAGCCTCTAGCATGACTTGAAACTAGTCGAGTTCTTCGTCAAATAATTACACGAGTACGCCGAAAACTGTAATAATTAAACTTAGAATATCACCGTTTAAAAACCACTTTACTCTACATTGCTCTACCAATTTAATAGTTAGGTACCTACTTACTATAAATTATTATATTCAACTTTTGTAAAGAATCTTGCATTGAATTAGTACAAATACTTACATATGAAATCAATAAACAATTCACTAACACAGAATATATAAAACTACACTGGTAATCAACAATAGAAACTGTCGCAAACAAATCGGAAAATTCGGGAGCTTTTTTCGGATCAAACCGTCTGTATTGAAGTACCACTGTTAAATGTCTATTATACAGAAGAGCGTGCGTTTATCAACATTGCTTACCATCACTATGGCGGTAATATATGTAGCAAGTACCTACTCACTTTTATCGCAAAAATTCGAAACCGATTTTTACAACTGGATCACGAGTTTTAGGTTAGATAAAAATGGTACTTAAGTCTACTAGTGTTTAGATCTAAAATGATAAGCACGTGCCTATGTCCATCTGGTGTGAAGTTATTGGTTCAAAGTAGCTCTAGATATATGTCTATAATTTAAACTGTCAAACACCAAGCGGTCACCGGTGACCGCAACCTATTGTTCTATAATTCTGTCTACAAAACCGGTACTCGACGAGTTAAAGCCACAATTATAGAACCACAGGTAGCGGTCACCGGTGACCGCAATCTATTGTTCTATAATTGTGTCTACAAAACCGGTACTCGACGAGTTAAAGCTGATTTATTTTAATTAATAAGACAAGTTTATCGAGGATTTCACAAACCAAATGGTCAAATATTCTTTGTTCTTGTAGGTATTTTCTTGGTCTTTTTTAAGTAAGTTATGTGGTCAGGTGTTTTCCTTCTGTCTATAATTATGAAAATCTGTAGTATATATTCCTTTGACCGTCAGAGAAAAGAGAAACAAATGAGATTATTTCAGATTATGATAAGACATTATGGCACAAAGCATACTGAAGTATAAAAACTTTTAATTACTCCAAGAAAAGACAAAAGCAGAAAAAGAGGGAAAGAGATATACCCATCTCTTTCAATACACAATTTTCCTCATCTTTCTCCGAAAGGGCACAGATAGTATTAATTTATCAGCATATGAAACAATATGATTCACAGATCTGAGCCAGGTGTTCGTCTACTATCACCAAGGTACAAATTCACTGATAACAAACATCTAAATGTTTGTGTATTTAACGCAAGCACTCTGATATCGAACTAATATTATTTTTACTGTGATGAATCACCCTTTCTAGTACGCATATTTTGCAGCTTGACTCATAAAAGGATTGTCTTGTTATTGTTAAACTAATTACTCCTATTTGTACTTATAAATCTGATATTAAATTGAGTTCTAAGAAAACTAAGTGAGTTATTCAAAATAGGGGTCAATACTGAATTAAGTTATAGTTCCATTTTATGGAGAAGAAACTGAGCAAGCACTAAAGGGCAAGGTGGGTCAGGGTGAAAATCACGACGTGAGTCCGTAGCGTGACATTTCGTTATTGTATTTTAAATAGAGAAAAATAATTCACAGAAATTTTAAAATATGAGATGGTCAAAGCTCGATGTAATTAACTAGAACATAACTACCGATACTTTATGAAAAGAGCGTATTGTTCCTTTTTAAAAGGCCGGCAACGTACCTGTGACTTCTCTGGTGTTGCGGGTGTCCATGGGCGGCGCTGATCGCTTACCATCAGGTGATCCGTCTGCTTGTTTACCGGCTGATTTCATAAAATAATGAATAAATTTGGGATTAG